TCACGCAAGCAAAGACACTGTCAAAAGCTAGTGTTCACAAACAAAACCAAACACCTACGTACGTACGTATGTATATACGTACAATAATATATATATATCTGTATTTTATCTAGTTTCAAGAAGAGAATACATAATAATATAATACATACAATATACCATAATTGACTGCCTCGTTGACCGAGTGGTCGCAAGTGCGACTGCCGGGCAAGGGGTCTCGGGTTCAATTCCCGGGTCGGGCAAAGTACTACTGGAATTGTGCCCGGTATATGGCAATAGGCTCACCTCCTATTACATGGGACTCATAACATAAATAGTGAAAAGTGGGTGTTACATTGTACACCTCTGCGTACCCCTTCGGGGATAAAAGGCGTGATGTTATGTTATGTTATACCATAATTCTATTCATATTATAATATGAAAGTGTGTGAGTCTGTTTGTTTGTTCGTCTTTCACGGCAAATCGGAGCGACGAAATGACACGATTTTGTAAATGGAGATAGCTAAATGCATGGAGAGTGACATAGGATACTTTTGGTTTCTATCTGACCTCCCAGTTCTATAAAATAGGGTCGAATATAACAGTTTTATAGGCTATATAACATCTCACGCCTTTTACCCCCGAAGGGGTAGGCATTTCGGTTAATGCTACTGTACAATTATGTAACACCCACTTTTCCCTATTAGGTATATGATGACCCCATGTAACAGGGGGTGGGTCTATTGCCATATACCGGTCACATTTCCAGACTCCGTGCCACTACTAAGAATTTCTTAAAAAACCCAATAATACTTTGCCCGACCCGGGAATCGAACCCGAGCAGTAGCACTTGCGACCACTCGGCCAACGAGGCCGTCATTTTTATAAATCAATTCGCAATTTTCAACGCACAACCGATATAATTTGGTAGGTATGTAAACTATTTGTAATTTTTTCTTGTAAATCAGTTAATCAATCCAACCCCTTTAAGGAACGCGAGCAAAGACGCGGGCGTCAGCTAGTAATAATATAAGACACGTATATCGGGAACACACGACTTCATTTTATATGTCGTACGTGTTCAGAACATTCGCTTTGTGGTATTATATTGGACAGATAAATCAAAATGTTCGAGTATGAATTTGTATTGCAGGCAGATATTTTGAATTTAATATTTTGGGCGTGGAAATTATATAATAAGCCTTATCGTAGACAGGGTAGGGTAAGCAGAGCTACCTACTTGTCCACGTAGCGTCATTTGTCTAAGGTATACATTTTTCACAAACAATAGGCGGCCTACAAATGCTTGCGTATTGCTTAGAAATAATGAAATCTATTCACGAAACAGAATCGTTAAATACATCTATAGTTGGATGGATGCATGCATTCGTCCAATGACGTGGACAGATTAGGTCTGATATTCAAAATGACGCAACGTGGACAGTACAGGCCTAATGTTGACCCGAGCGTACGGAGCGTCGCGTTCCGCGCGCGCGTCAAAGACTCATCAGACCACCACAAATGGGGCTATATTAGGGCTGATGCCGATACGGAGTCGCGGAGAACCTAACGGGTTACCGGGGCTCCGGCTCGAAGTGCCGGAGTAGGAACGGGATGGTTTTTAGTCAGTAAGAGTCTGACACTCCCTCCCGCCTCACCCAGGCGGGAGCAGCCATTCGATGATTTTCCCCCCTTAAAAAAATCACTTATAGAGATTTCTACCAGACAACCTTTGGGTGGATATAATGAAAATAAATATTTAGACTATTATCTGGTGTATGGCAATAAGTTCATCCCTTAATAAATAGGTAATAAAACAGGAACAATACCGTAAGTCTTTTTCTTTTTAAATTCATCCCTTGAGGCTCATTAGGTGATTAATAAATTAAACAAATTGCTCTCTATATGTCCATTTGTAGAAGTACCTACAATAATAATGATAATTGCTGCTAAGTTAGCTTTGGGATACTGACAGAGAAATATCATTTTCACCACCGCTACTCTTCGCGCGTGCCGTAAGAACCGAATAAAGGACTGCACAGAGAACAGGCACCAGCACTCTCTGATAAAACTGTAGCTTTAAACTGTGATCTTCTACCCACTTGCTATTGCCAAGCATTTTTAAGGGAGGGGGATTATCCAATGGCTTTTCCTACCTTTTGTGAGGCGAGAGAATGCGTCAGGCTCTTACTTACTAAACACCATGCCGTTCCTACTTCTGCTTCAAGCCGGAGCCCTGGCAACAAGTTGACTGCAGCTCCGGACTGGCCAAGCATGGATCTTTTTAATTAACTTTCTTATCAGAGAGCGCTGATCCCTGGTCTTTATTTTCATTTCGTCAGCTGAAGAAACACACATGATGTCAAAAATGTTCTTCTCTGCCGTTACCACTGCCACACGGCTCCTTACTTGTAGTAATTTTAAAAGTCAATGGATTCCTTCAGCTTATGACATAAACCGACATTCTCATATAATTGAACCAATGAAACAATGTAACTATGAATTGTATTGTGAACTTTATTGACAAAGAGTAACTTAAGGAGTTTCTTGCTCGTTCTTCTCCATAGGAATCTACACCTTGGAACGGGCAAATAACTTCATAGAGGACTGACCAACAGACTGACTCTTTTATTGACAATAACGTTCAAAAGTGCCTTCCAGATTTAAATTAAATAAATAATTTTGATTTTGACTTTGACAATTTACTTTAACTTAGGATTTTAACATGCCAAGTCCCTTTACATTGTACGGCGCGTCGCGTTCCGCGCGCGCCTCAAAGAGCCATCAGACCAACACGGATGCCAAGGAGCCGCGGAGAACTTAACTGGTTACCGGGGCTCTGGCTCGAAGTGCAGGAGCAGAAACGGGGTGGTTTTTCGTCAGTAAGAGTCCGACACTTCCTCCCGCCTCACCCAGGCGGGAGAAATCATACGATGATTTTCCCCCCTTAAAAAAAGTTTACATTACATTAGGGTACTAACAAATCAATGCGATATCTATAATAGCTGCAGGCAATACAATCACCGTTTCTACAAATATAGCCCCAAGTTAACATGATTCCAAATTGTTACCGTAATTGACCCCAATTGGAAAACAGTTATTGACTCTTGTTAATTGTTTGGGGTTAATTCCAAATGTATAGGTACCGTATACATTTGGATTTAAATCTAGACAAATTAATCTATACGTACGTAGGTATGTGTGTGGTCTTTTTGATCATGACTGATAGTGAATTTTGGAAAATGAATGATTTGTTTAAAGATAGAAAGAAGATTACCTAGTTAATTTTGTTTCAAGTGTGAAAATCAATCAAAATCACAGTTTTGAGGTGCCCTGTTTGACTGATGCAGTGGAAGCGTGGAAAATGGCTTGCCCACTTACGGATTTACCTGTTCACCCATCTTCTCAGAGACAGTGGGACGCGCCGCTGTGCAGTGTTATTCGTGAGTCTTTAATCAACTCGTCTTCTAATACTGCAGAGCGAGCTCGCTTATTGGCTGTGGGAGAACGGGAATCAGGACTGTGGCTTCAGAGACTCCCGTCACCCTTTATAGGTACTATGTATGTTGGATGACATAACGTTCCGCCTAGTAAGTTGTAGTTAATTTTAAGTTGTAAATATTTATGTAGTTATAAACAAGACAAATATATTTAGAAATTACACTTTTACTTGAAAAATAAACCCAATGGTTGTAAATTAATTAAGAATCGCGGGTTACTCACGTGAAAATACTCAAAAAAGCTCTATAGAAAAGTAGGCTTCGCGACATCGCCGCGACCGCGCACGCTCATCATAAGGACGAACCCCTCTATGGTTCGAAACTAGTAGAGCTTTTCTCAATATTTCACGTGAGTAACCCGCGATTTTTAGTTAATTTAGGTATAGTATGTCTTACGATAGTTATTATAAAAACCAATGGTTGCATTTATGACGGTAAAAAATTCAAAGTTTTGGGTCATATCATAGCGACCAACGAAAAAGTCGTATTTTCATGCCATCCTGCGAAATGTCTCACTATTTTCCTTAACCGTAAGCTACTAAATTTAAATTATCTTACTTTTAGAAGTGACATTTTTATGTATTCTTAGTTCTAACAAATAAAAATATTATTATGATAAAATATACTGGCTTACTGTCAACTTTAATTGTATTTATTTTCGTGGTTTTGTCCAAGAGCTGCCTACTGAGCAGTGGATCTTAGATTCAATCCTTGAGTTGTAGAGATCATTTTGTAAATTCGAATTTATCAGTCGGTTCTCCTGCAGAATTTTTTTTTACGGTATAAGCCGGTAAACGAGTAGACGGATCACCTGATAGTAAGCAATCGGCGCCGCCCATGGACACCTTAAACGTCAGAGGCGTTACAAGTGCGATTCCGGCCTTTTGGGGATTTTTTTTTTTAAGGGGGGAAAATCGTCGAATGGCTGCTCCCGCCTGGGTGAGGCGGGAGGGAGTGTCAGACTCTTACTGACTAAAAACCACCCCGTTCCTTCTCCTGCACGTCGAGCCGGAGCCCCAGTTACCCGTTAGGTTCTCCGCGCCTTTTGGGGATTAGGAATTTGAGGATTGTTGTGGATTTAAGGATTGGGGAGATTGGGGAAGGAGGGAGGCGGGTTATTGGGCCTCCGGTAATATCACTCACATGACGAAATACAAAGTAAGCGTCACGTTGTTTCACGTCGGGTTTTTTATGGAACTGGAATGGGCCGGCCCATTCGCTCCGAAACATGGCTCTCCCACACTTAAAGTGATCTACTATAATCCTCTTGTGTGACAGTGGTTGGGGTTCACAGTCAGATTGCCAAAAGTGTAGAGAATGCTGTTGACGATGATGTTAGATAAGAATGGTTTCGATTCAGATTTTATTCTGGTTTTTAGAAGCTGCCACCCGTCCCTCAGTAGTGTTCGCATTTTTAAGATACATCTGGGTCTGAATAATTGTTTTTTTTATTGATTGATTGTATTAATTTGTAACTAATCATTTGTTCTCTTTGTTCCATGTATTATCTTCCGGCTATTGCAGAGCACAGCTAGAGTAAGTACCAATTTTTATCTGATACCTATTAACAGAAGCCTTAAGAAGCTTATTTCTTAAGAAGCCTATTGGTCCAATACACTGGTCAAGCCATTTAATGTTTTTATCTAATCTAGATGTTCTATCTTTTGTTTTTAATCACAGTTCCCTACGTAGCAACGATATACACTTCATTATTGAGAGACATGTAATGACACATTGTGACATACTCCACGCCTGAATCACTGTTTTCCAAAATACAAGCTTATAGCTGCCTTGTTGGCCGAGTGGTCGCAAGTACGACTGTCGGGCAAGGGGTCTCGGGTTCGATTCCCGGGTCGGGCAAAGTACTACTGAGTTTTTATAAATTCTCAGTAGTAGCACGGAGTTTGGAATTGTGCCCGGTATATGGCAATAGGCTCACCCCCTATTACATGGGACTCATAACATAAATAGTGAAAAGTGGGTGTTACATTGTACATTGGCATAATGTACACCTCTGCCTACCCCTTCGGAGATAAAAGGCGTGATGTTATGTTAAGCTTATAGCTTAGTTTGAAAAGCAGTATCAGTATCATTCCTTATCCATACTAGTCCATGTAATTACTGCATTCCTGTGACTATAGTATTGTGTAATTTTTTGTGACAATAAATATTATTTTTTTTGTAAATTGTAGATGATCAATAATGATATCTGATTAGGATGTATTTGACACTATTACGCGCTATATACGCGCTCCAAAAATATAAGTAGTCCCTAGTAATAATGAATTAGTAACTTGTAACATGAAGATAATCCAGGACCATACACCACACACCATTTCAGATATCGTGTTACCAACTACTGAGTTTTTTCAAAAATTATAAGCCTGTCAAGGTGCAACCCCTTAGAAAAAGTTGACCCACTCGACTACTTTACGCACCAAAACAACTACATGTGTGTCTTTACCCGACTACCTCAAAATGGAAAGTTATGGCTCTCTAAACAAAATATGACAAAGTTTTCCTTGGAATAATGGCCTAGCCTTATGGGTTATAATGACGGAATTCATTATATGTAGCCTTAAAAGCGTTTACAAGGCCCATGGGGGACTCACATGAAAATTAAAACACCTCGAGGCTCAGGAGAATACAAGTTTTAACTATATTATTTTTAGGTTTTATGTTTTAACTATTGTTAGCCATGTCGTCATATTTACAAGGCCGAAGTTCGATACCTGATTAAAAGAAGGTAGCATTGGGTTAGTAGCACGATGCCTAATTTTGTATTGGAGTTTTTTAGCTTTTCAAAAAATCCTTATTTCGTCAGTGGCAGAGTCCTGTTTTGTTTTTATTGAGATCAAGTCATCCGATGACTTCTCCCGCCTTGGGTTAGGCAAGAGGAAGTGTCAGACTCTTACTGACTAAAATCCACCCCGTTCCTACTCCTGCTCTTAGAGCCGGAGCCCCGGTAACCCGTTAAGCCTTCCGCGGCTCCAGTCACTGAGTTTGGAATTGTACTCGATATAATAATAAGTCAGTAGATTCACTCCCTATTATAAGGGAGTCATAACAGTGCTAAAAAAACACCACAACCTCCCAAAACCCTGCCACTCCTGTGCACCTGGATCTACAGTAGATACAACATACAACTGATGCATACAAATGCAAACACTAGAGTCCAGCACGTCCCAAAAACATGAATATCCCTTAACCACCCACCATACGTCCCATAGACGCGAGAAAAACAAAATCGTCAATGTTCTGGGGCGCCAAGTACGTATCAACTTGTACGTCTGTGTACCTTCCTTGTTTGTTACTCAGCACTATAATTATAATAGGACATCATTAAACGAAAGTGCACGCGTTTGCCTAGTAAAAAAAGTATCGTATTCCGTCTCTGAGACGCATGGTATGGTATACTTATATACCTCTCAAAGTACAAAACAGGAGATGTTATGTCCTATTCAGTATGAATAAAAAAATATTCCCAAAATTCAACGTTTCTGTATCAAAATTCCTAAAAAAAAAACAACCGAAGATAATCTAATTTACCAATATTTTTTTTGTAAAAAAAAAAAATAAATACGAAAAAAGTAACGAACCTAACGAGTTCTTTCCCTTTTTCTTCCTGAAATATTTGCTTTGGGAATCAAAGCTAATTCTGTTTCTAGATTTTTGTAGCGATTCCAATAGGATACCTAAGTTAGTTAGGTTGCTTTTTAGGTCTTTTATTTGGCCTTGAATACCTCGTTAGTATAGTGGCCTTACGGTAGGTTTAGATTTTTTGGCATTTTAGTCGTCTTTCAAATGTTATCAAGTCCCATGTAAAAGTATAACATACCATCACGCCTTTTATCCCTGATGGGGTAGGCAGAGATGCACATTACGGCACTTAATGCCACTGTACAATGTAACACCGACTTTTCACTATTTGTGTTACAAGTCCCATGTAATAGGGGGTGAGCCTATTGTTATATATCGGAGACAATTGAAGACTCCTTGATACTACTAGTCAGATTTTTTTTAAAACCCAGTAATTCCTTGTGCAACCCGGGAATCAAACCCGAAACCCCTTGCCCGGCAGTCGCACTTGCGACCACTCGGCCAACGAGGCAGCTATATAAAAGTAATATTATTTTATTTCTTTTAAAAAACCTTTCCAATTGGTCCAATCGTAAAATTCTGTCCTGTGTCGGGGATGCATTTTCAAAATTATACATAGTCATATACACAACACAAACTAAAGCTTGAATAACAATGAGTATTTTTAGACAAACAAAGGATTATTTATTGTTCGTGCGTGAATCGAACCCGCGGCACGTTGCACAAATAGTAAATTAGACCTTTTGTTAGACACACGATTGCTGAGGTTTGTTGTCGTATTGAGGTTGTATTGAGTCGGGTAAAGTTTATAATTACTAGTTATTGCATTCAGTGCACGTCTAATTTAAACACAACAACAACCACACAATATATATCCCTATATCAACTAACTTAAGTGTCAATTTCCCAGGACAACTTCGATCAGCTCCCCTCAAGCGAAGTCGCCAGCTGGGAGCAGCGCTGGAGCGGCTGCAAGTGCCTCGACAGCACCTGGAGAACGGACGCCAACTGCTCACAACAAACAGCTGCAAAATGTCAAGGGACAGGATCATCCGCCGCATCCATCTGTAAGTACAATTCCAAAGAGTAGACCAAAAGACCGAAAGACCATTTGGTCTTTTGCAAAAGACCATGAATTTTTTGATCGAATTTTGCTAGGTTTTGTTTTAGCGGTGGATTTGATGGAATAAAAAAAATTAAAAACATTTCAAACAGATTTGGAGAAACTATTCTTGAGAGGACACGCATAATAACGTTAAATATTCGACATAGAAAACTTCGCGTGGTCATATTGTAGTGTTTACTTTTTGTATCAAAAAACTAAGAATAGATGTTCAGCATACAAGTTAAAATTTTCCTTTTAATCTTCAATTCTAGACAAAAAACTTTTACCAAATATGCTAATACAACTGTCAGTCTAACGGCCCTAACTAAAATAGTAATTAAAAAACTGAATAATGAATTGAGTTCATTTATCAACAGAGTAAGTAATTGGCCAGCGACAAATTAACGAATGAATAACTAATTAGGACAATATTGTGTAATTATTATTAACTGTGTTGTTAGTATATGTTCTATGTTTATTATTTGATGTTACCTGTTAATTAAAAAAGTTCTTTAGATGGTTCTCTTAGGTGTTAAATTGTAACTGTTGTTATAACTGTTAATTGGTTGACCAAACTTTGTTTTAATTGATACACTGGTAATAAAATGGCTTATAGTAGCGAGGTTGACTGTCCAGGCGACACACGTACTCAGGTATCGTCATGAGCTAATGTTCACATGTAAACAGCAGCTCATGTAGTGTAGATGTCCAGTCAACAAGGATGTAGCGAGGTTGACTGTCCAGACGACACACGTACTTAGGTATCGTCATGAGCTAACGTTCACATGTAAATAGCAGCTCATGTAGTGTAAATGTCTAGTCAACAAGGATGTAGCGAGGTTGACTGTCCAGGTGCCATATACATTCAAGTCATGTCCTATATTTTTAATTATGATTAATTACAAAGTTTAGTCAACTAATTAAAAGTATATTTGTTCAATGTGTGTTTAAATTATGTGTTCAGTGTGTACAGTCAGTCATAGTTATAATTATTTAAATAAAACGCACGTCTATTTTGTAATTTGCCTATTAAAGTAGATTTATATGTCCAAGTCTTAAAATAATGTGTAAAAAGTATATAAAATGTCAATTACGATACGATCTCTCCAAACTTCAGCAACAACAACAAACCTGACTATAGTTGTGAAGACTGATCGCAGGGTAAACCAATAAAAAAGAAAAAAAATGACATCAAAATTACGATACGAACGCAATTTTTTTATTGCCAATTGCTCGGCATTTGTCCACTATCTCGCCTGATGGTAAGCGATGATGCTGCCTGCGATGGAGCACGCCTATAAGCAACTTTTTCACTCGAGACTTAAAGCCACGTATTAAAGTCAAAGCCAAAGCCAAAGTCATCTATTTTTATTAAACCAGGAGTGAAGTTATTTGCTCATTCCAAGATGTGGATTCCTATGGAGAAGAATGAGCAACTCTTTCTGTGATCCACAAAGGGTAAGGTTTTAATAATTGAGTAGTTTCCAGGGTAAGAAAATTAAAAATCTAATTAGTCCGTCAGTTAGATAATGAAAAAGTATGAGAAAAGTTTTTTTTTATTTTCTAGTATAAAGTTACAATACTTAGATAAAACGGAGTTAAATATAGGAGTGGGAGGTAGTAACGTCACAACGTGTTACATTTTGTTGCACGCTGTGACGTCACACAACATTTCAAATCAATATATTATCGTCGAAAGCATTTAATTTGGTGAGAAAAGAAAAAATACGTGTCTAATGTTTTAAAATAATCTACTAGACGGACATTAAAATAAAATGTAGGAAACTAGCCTATTCTGTGTTATTAAAATCATCACGCTACGATCAATACGAGTTGAGTAGTAGGTGAAACCGTGCGGTATCACTAGTATCTAGTAGTATAAAATGAATAAATTTTGTTTGTAGATTTTTTAGTTATATTGTAGATAATGTATAAACAGACTGTGACTGACTGTAAGAACATATAATGTAGATGTTTATATACATGGTATGTGTTAGGCTTATTCTTTTTATATGTGTGTGTTATTTCAAGAAAAAAGGGACAGTATGGAAATTATTTTATAACTATTATTTTAAAATACGGTGTGTACTGTGCAGAAAGACATGTTCTTAAAATCAATCTATATAAATAATAATCAATTTCCATTCGTTAGTCTCGCTAAAACTCGAGAACAGCTGAACCGATTTGGCTAATTTTGGTCTTAAATTGTTCGTGGAAACCCAGGGAAGGTTTCAAGGTTGCAATTTTTAGGCGTTACGAAGTTTGCTGGGTCAGCTAGACTCTTAAACTGTCAAACACCGCGAGGACACCGGTGACCGCAACCTATTGTTCTTTAAATGTAATGACGGTACTCAACGAATTAAAAGTCATTTGATTTTTTTTAAACTTAAAAGTTATTTATGAATTGGAAAGAAACATTTACAATTATCATAACTATGTATATGCCTTCTATTCGAAAAAAGGTTAAACAGAGATGAAGCTCATTTGATTTGATGCAAAGTTTTCACCAAGGACGTTGAAAAAAAGGCGAAAACAGTCTCTTAAAGATCTCTTCTTAAGATCCATATACTTTTTATTTCAGATACTGTGCTGAAACTTGTCTAAATTCAATAACATTATTTCTTACCCATAAGTCAAACCCGAAGTATATTTTTAGTGTCACTAACAACCGCTAGATCTAAATAAAAATGTAATTAAAACATACCAAGATACCATCACGCGTTTTATCCCCAAAAAAGTTTTTATTGAGGCTTGAAGATCATCTAATGACTTCTTCCGCCTTGGGTTAAGCGAGAGGGAATGTCAGACTCTTACTGACTAAAAACCAACCTGTTCCTACTCCTGCACTTCGAGACGGACCCCCGGTAACCATTTACGTTCTCCGCGGCTCCGTATCGGCATCAGCTCTATTGGGCCCCATTCGTGATGGTCTGATGGCTCTTTGAGGCGCCCGCGGAATGTGCGCCCTAGAATCTTACCTTTACATACGGCTCTGGCCGACACTATAAAGTGAATCAGTTAGGCCTTCTGCAGCTCCAGTATCGGGCATCAGCCCTACTGGGCGGACTGGCGCATGAAATTTGGCGCCCACGCAGGGGCACCGTAGAGGACCTTGGACCGCACGACCCCCGCGTACAACCTCCGGATACTTGAGAAGCTGGCATCTTAACTATGGGCTACCACGACACATATTACATTTCTATAACCACAAATGAATAACGTAAATCATAATACATCTTTTTATACTCTACTTAGCCCCATGTGTCGGTTAAGAGTATTTACGACCAAACATGAATTATTTATTTACCGTTCCCTACGTGCTCCGGTTTAGAAGGGATAAGAATAGGGTGTCAATGTAACATTGCGGTTGTTATTTCTTGGGTAGACAGAAGTGTACCAATAGGTACAATATACAATAGTACGTATTGGAGCGACACGTTGACATACTTACATAACTTCACGCCTGTATCCCATGGGGGTAGCCAGAGACTGTGGAATGCCAATTGCTATTATACTTGTTTGGTTGGAAGTGACTGTTTGGTTTTCTCGTCGTCTCTCCATTAGCTGCAGAGACTCCCCCGAAAGCTCGGCCCTCCGTCCTTATTCTGTCCGGTATTCTGCGTCCGGCATAATTTTGTTCCTTCATCCCGGAGGATCCCGACCATTTGCTCAAGTTTCTGGTCAATATCAACGTCATTTGTGATTGTTTCCAAAGCAGCAAACTGGTTCTCCAGCTTTAATTGGAATGCTTCAGATCAAGCTACGGTTTGGAGCAAGTTCGGTCGCAGCGTAGACCTCATGAGACGGACACGCTCGAGTTTGTATTTGATATTTAGAGTGCCTCGTACCAGTCGGTGATCACTTCCGGTATTAAACCTTGTGATTACTGAGACATCTCTGAATATTCGTCTCTTGTCCGTCATAATGAAGTCTATCTCATTTTTCGTCATAGCATCGGGGCTTCGCCACGTCCACTTCCTTTGAGGCTGCTTCTTAAAGAAGGAGTTCATCAAGAACAGTCCCTCCTTCTCTAGGAAGTTGACTAGCATTTGAACCCTTTTTTTTTAAGGGGGGAAAAACATCGAATGACTGCTCCCGCCTGGGTGAGGCGGGAGGGAGTCTCAGACTCTTACTGACTAAAATCCACCCCGTTCCTTCTCCTGTACGTCGAGCCGGAGCCCTGGTTATCCGTTAGGTTCTCCGCGACAACATTTGCCCCCTATGGTTCCTGCTTCCAAATTCGTGTGGTCCTACTACCGATTCGCCGCTATTATGTACTCCCACTTTGGCATTGAAGTATCCCATGACAACGTTGAAGTGGGCCTTTTGGGTGGTGTGCAAGGCCCTGGAAATGTCTTCCATACATTTCCTCTACCTCATCATCCGAGTATGTCGAGGTAGGCGCGTACACGACCTTTAAGCTATACCTCTTGGTGAGTTTGATCACAAGTCTCACCACATCTTTTAGTAATTATTTATTACCTAATTATTTGTTATTTCATAAGAAAAATCTACATCAAAACGAACAACGCCACGGTATGAATCTAGTAACATAATAACTCACACATGTTGCACCTCCTTGCCATCATAAAATCTTCATTGAAATTTTAAATTCCAAGTTTCCTTGAAACTAAATTTGCATATTCCCCCTTCATGTAACTGGCTCGTTAGCCTGGCTAGCAAATGTTAGATATGGAGATAGAAACGAGAATCGAATTCGTTGCCATTGTTCAGTAGCCATGGAACTATTATACTGTAAAGTACCTTTTATGCCGCACACACAACAGACGGTCATGGTAAGCAATGGACGCCCCAGTCTATGGGGCAGCACAAGAGAAGTTACCCGTGCATTACCAGCCTTATAGTAGTAAGGTATTCGAGGATTAGGAAAGTTCAAATTGACAGTTACAAAACAACCTAGCAGACCTTCAATAGGGCAGATGCCAGGTTATAAAAATTAAA